AGTTAAAGAAACTATGATTGCTTGGGGGAAGAATTTTGGATATGGGATCGATTTATCGAAATGGCAAAAATTGTGGTCTCAAAATTATAAAATGACAATGTCAACAGCATATAAAGAAAATTTGTGTAATATGTTTTACAGGTGGCATTTTCCTCCAACAAGAATAGCAAGAATGTTCAAGAACAAATCTGAAAAATGTTGGAAATGTCATCAGACACCTGGCTCATATTACCATATGTGTTGGACTTGTGCAGATGCTAAAAAATACTGGACTAAAATTCGCATGTGGTTGGAAAAAATCACAAAGAAACACATAGACTTGAAACCAGAGATCTTTTTATTGGGAATCTTACCTGATACATATAGTAAAGATTTGAAATATATGATTGTAAATGTATTAACAGCGGCTAGGATTGTATTTGCTAAAAACTGGAAAAATGAGAAAATACCATCATAGGAAGAAATTATTAAGAAAATACTGGAATGTGCTGAAATGAGTAGATTGACATTTGAAATTAGAGAACAAGAGGATAAACAATTTTATAAAATTTGGGATCTTTTCTACCAATGGTTAGATAATAAAATAGAACAATAGAATATTTAGAATTCTAGGAAATAATGAATATATAAAGATATATTTCTTTTTTGTTGATATTATATCTATAAAAATGTTTTTAGGATAGATTTGGTATGATTATATGATTTGTTATAAAATAAACTAAATTAATTATAGTTATCTCGCAAAGCATGAATGAATAAAATTATAGTCAAATGATTGTTTAATAGTGATACGGGTATTTAATTTTTGATTGATAATATGAGTTATTATGTAATGCAGGGGTGTCCAACCTTTCACCTTCCCTGGGCCACATTAGAAGATGAAAATTTGGTTTGGGCCGCACATAAAATAAAATAACAGTAACGATACCTGATCATCCCAAAAAACCATAGAAAACATAGTTAACATATTAAATTTATTTGGAAATGAAGTTAATGAGATGTTTTTATTATTAATTATTTATTAAAAATTATTTATTTTTTATCACAGTTTTTTTATCACGGTTTTTTTATCATGGTTTATTTTCCGGCCAAATTTTGCGGGGGGGTGGAGAAAGCTCGCCCGCCTCGCGCCTACCTCTCCTCCTGCAAATGGCCTGGCTGGATGAGGCAGGACTGGAAGGCAGAAGCAGCAGCAGCGGCAGGGGCAAAAGCAGCGGCGGGGGCAGTGGCGGCGGGGGCAGAAGCAGCAGTGGTGGCGGGGGCAGAAGCGGAGGTGGCGGGGGCAGAAGCGGCAGCGACAGCAGGGGCAGAAGTGGCAGCGGGGGCAGAAGCGGCGGGGGCAGAAGCGGCGGCGATGGTGGTGGTGGCAACAGCAGGAGGTGGGGCTCTGACGGCACCTGCTTTTTCTGTTGCTGCTTGGCCTGGCGCTCGCCTCGCCCTGCCTCGCGCCTGCTTCTCCTCCTCCTCCTCGCTGGCTCTGGCATGAAGGTTGGGGTGGGCACTGGGCCACATTACAAGGTGACCTGGGCCGCATGCGGCCCTTGGGCCGCAGGTTGGACAAGCCTGATGTAATGTATCTGTAATTGAGACTACGAAAATGGATGCACAAAAAAATGGTAAACCAACCAACACACTGCTTGTATATATATGAAAGAAATCTGGATGTTTTTATGTTTTGTATGTTTTGTTTGTCTTTAAAAACCAATAAAATTGTTTTCAAAAAAAAAAAAAAGGCAATTACAGACAACTGTATATGATAGTGGCTGAGGGCATGGCCATACCACTGTAGCTGTTTCTTCCATATTTTCTCAGTTATTGGCTCAATGCTCATTTCCTGCCATACTGTGTCATTGCTGACATGGTCAAGAAGAGAGTCATTTCATGACCAAAGAAACATGCATATCTATAAGTCATTGAAGAGTGCTGAATGCATTTGGTTGTTGGCCTTCAAAAAGCAGTCATGTTTACAGCATTAAGAAAAAGATTAAAGCTTTAAATATAAAATTGTAATTATTAGTACAAATGGCAATAGTTGGCATTTTTCCTATTGTCTTTTATTTCTTAGTTCTGTGTAGGGTTAATAAAAATGATTAATGGTCTTTTATATGGCATTATTTCCTTTATTGCTTATTCTTCCTTTTTCATATTTTGTTTATTTCCAGTATTCTTGCAACAACCCCTCCCCTCAAAACTGAAAAAAGTTAAAACAAAAACTAGTTTTAGGTTTAGGTTACTGGGATTTAAAAATTATTTATTCATGCCCAAACAGAAGAAATTAACTCTGATAAAATTAAACAAAATTTACCATAAACTACTTAGACTCCAATCCTGAAAGAAATCATAATCAATTGCCTTACTTTATGTCACTGTTATCTTGTTTTTTCTTATCAAAAAAACAGTGGATTGGACTCAAGCCAGGAATATGATATCCACAAGAATTACATATATATACATTGTACAATATTTTGCTTACAGTGAGTCTTAACTCATTATAATCCTAGCATTACTAATTTATAAGATCCTTATAAACTTCAAAGTCTCCTCCCAGGTAATAGATTCTTTCCAATAATCTGGTTTTGCTATATAGTAGTATCTCCAATAGTTCAGATATTGACCATGTCACATTTTTGCAGACCCAAGGAACCAACCCTTTCATTTATGAGCATCTTCTCCTTGCAGAAGAACCATCCTACCTGAGATGTGTATCCCATTAATAAAGCTCAGATCTAATCTTGGCACCCTTGGTTTTTATTAGGGTAGTGTTCCTGCACTTTTATTGGCCATCTTCAGCATCTCCTCAGGAGAAACATAAAAGACCTTCTCAATCTTTGACTTTTCACTTTATTGGAGTGGGCATGAATTATGGGATTGCCTTTGTAATGTATGAAGTTTCTCCCAGAAATCATGCCACAGAAAACATGTATTTGCTATGTACACTGCACATAGCAATTGCACAAAGGCAGGACAAGAAGCAACGAGTGAAAACTAATCAAGGAGAGAACCAACATAGAACTAAGGAGAAATTTCCTGATAGAACAATTAATCAGTGGAAGAGCTTGTCTCCAGAAGTTGTGGGTGCCCCAATACTGGAAGTTCTTAAGAAGAGATTGGCCAACCTGAAATAGTGTAGGGTTTCCTGCTTGAGCAAGACGCTGGACTAGAAAGCCTCCAAGGTCCCTTCCAGCTCTGTTATTCTGTTCTGTTAATTATGTTTGCAACATTGAGTTTTCCTCCCAGCTGGCATTATTGAGAAGTGGAGGACAGGTAGCTTTTCATGGATGGGAAATAAGGATGCTGTCTTCTAACTGGGGATGGGGGATGGGGATCTGAACTGATGTTAGCAATGGGCACAGCAAAATTGTTTTAGTTTTGCCTCCTCCTCTGGAATGGGAAGAGAACACATTAATAAAGCTGAGGAGAAAAGTACTGGGCACAGTTATCATGATAGGCAGGAAACGATCATGAGTTCACAATGAAATGTTGGTATTCTATGCTGCACTCAACATTGTACATTATGGGGTATTCTGGACCAGCTGCAGTTTCTGCTCTATTCAAGCCAGTCCTTTATGGAGCCGATTGCAGTAGTCTAATCAGAAAGTGACCAATCAATAACTTCCTTAGAGATAAGGATGGGCTAAATGTTCTCTGTACTACAAGAATCTCCAGCCATTGATTTTCCCAAAATGTTGGAAAGTTGTATTTCATCTGGTGAACCTTTATCACTTATATGAACATTGTCAGAGAACAATCTAAAAAAGTAATCACTGTATGCCATAAATTATATAAACACAATATCCTCCCTCTGTAGATATTTACCTAAAGACTTTTATATTGTTTTTTAAAATGATTTTTCAGTAGGAGTTAGGAATTTAATATAGAGATATTTTATTTTAGGGATTTGTGGGCATAAAAGTCAAGAAAATATGCTGTAGATCAGTAGTCTCCAACCATTTGGACACCAGGGACTGGTTTCCTGGAGAGAGGTTTTTCCGTGGACATGGTTTTGCATGCTGCCTGCATCCCTCAGAAGAGGCTTCACTTGTTTGCATTTCCCAGTTTCTGGCATGCTCCAGCCTGGTGCTGATCCATGTACCAGGTATTGGGGACAACTGCCATGGATCTCCTTCATACATGAGATATATAAAGATAACAAATCAGCAAAATGAATAATTTAATTATGAGGAACAATCTCCACTGTTTCAGATTGGAGGACATATGAATGAAATATACTGTCATTACTACAGCAAGGGAAGAAGAGACACATTAAAAGTGTTCTTGGTTTGCAGATTTTTCATGTGGTTATTGATCATCATGACAGATAGCGTGCTCGGGAAAAATATAAGGCCTTTTGGAATAAAATAAGAGAGAACCAACAGAAGAAATGGACAGAGAATCCTGGAAATGGGAGGCAAAATATCCAGTATCTGACGGCCCTGGATTTCTACCTTTTCTAAACAAACTTTTCCCTAAGGCCCTGGTAATCCTTGGTATTCATTAATGACACGCCCAGGATGAATCCTCTGGCTTCTCTCAGGAGATATTGTTAGAGAAAAAAGTCCTTTGGTCTCTCTAGAATTTCTGATCCTCTACGAGTCAAGTGATTTATAGACTCCTTTACTCCTTTGATGTTTGCATAGGAAAAAATACTTCTTTTTCCAGAGAAAGGAATACATGGAGGGTCACTTATAGCAAGCCAATCTTAAAGATCTTAATTTTTTAGTGCATTGTTGATTTTTTATGGGAAATTTTTTCCCTGTTTTTAAAAGTATCACAAAACAAATCTACGATAAGGTCAATGCATTCCCTTGGCTCATGTTTGGTGGGTTGATTCTTTCTGTTGTATAACTCCATGAAAGGTTTTATTGATCTAATGTACTAATAGTAGTGTACTGGAATTTGGTCATGTAGATTTCAAGGATAGCAAGTATAATTCATTCTTAAAAAAATGTTTTGAAGAATTATTTAATTCTTCATTTCCTTCTTTTCCTAAGGTTTTGAAAATGAAGAAAGAGAATTGGACCTGTTTGACCGAAATTGTCCTGTTAGGCTTCTCAGATTTTCAGTCCATGCGAGAACTTCTGTTTTGCCTGGTTCTAATGTTCTACCTCATGGCTTTGATGGGCAACAGTCTGATTTTGATTCTCACCATTTTCAGTCCTACCCTTCACACCCCAATGTACTTCTTCCTCTGCAACTTGTCCTTTGTGGAAATTGGCTACACCTCCACCATCAGCCCAAAGATGCTAGTTAACTTATTATCAGACAACCAGAACATATACTTTTGGGGCTGTGGGTGTCAAATGTGTTTCTTCATTCTCTTTGGTATTACCGAGTGTTGTCTTCTTTGTGCTATGGCATATGATCGCTATGTTGCCATTTGCAAACCCTTGCAATACCCATATATCATGAATCTCAGGGAATGTGCTATGCTTGCTGCTGTATCATGGGCCATTGGTGTTTTTGTGGGTCTGGGGCAATCTATTTCAATCTTCACCCTTCCCTTCTGTGGGTCAAATAGAATCAGCCATTTTTTCTGTGACCTTATGCCTATTCTGAAACTGGCGTCCACCAATACTTACAAAAATGAAGTGGCCATTGCCACAATAACAGTTCTATTTATTCTGGTGCCTCTTTTGCTCATCCTTTTTTCCTACATCCTCATCATTTCCACTATTCTCACAATGCCGTTGGCCAAGAACAGGCGGAAAACATTTTCAACTTGTTCCTCACATCTCGCTGTGGTCTGCATTTTCTATGGAACCTGCATTGTTACCTACATTCGACCCAGCTCAGAATATTCCACGGACAGTAGCAGGTTCCTTGCCCTGCTCTACACAGTAGTGACCCCAAGTTTAAACCCCATCATTTACAGCTTGAGGAATAAAGAGATAAAATCTGCTTTCATGAAATCTATAGCAAGGACACAGATCTTAATACGGTAAGTCAAGTAGATCCATAGGTTTGATGTTTTTAATAAATGCAGTTGTCGTGCACATATTTATGGGGTAGAATGAACTCCAGGGGATACCAATGAGAGATTTCACTCTTTACTGCAGAATGATTCAGACAGGTTGATTTAAACAAGGAGAGAGCCCTGAAGGATAAGTTCATTATTGTGGTACAATTAAAATAAAGATTGATAGCCCATTTATTTAAAAGGAAAGCTACTGTTCTTAAAGTCTAAAGAAAAGGGAGGAAAAAAGAAGGATATAGAAAGTGCTTTTAAGGGATCAGTAGCAATCTGGGGAAGCAATGGAGAAGACTATCAAGGTAAATTGGGGGGTTTTTACGAAAAAAAAAGAAACAAGAAGTTATTATTCCATAAAGACAATTTCTGTGTAGGGAATTACAATATTTTGCTTTCCCAGAGCTTCCTTTGCCCTTCTCCAAGTTTACCATCATTTCTTGGCTTTGCAAAGTTTTATGCCTGAGGATAGTTAGTTATTCTAGAAAAGTGTTTTTTGTAGAAGAGATGATTGCATAATTTGAAATTACACAGCTGTCCTAGGACTTTATTTTTGCATGGAAGAGATATTTGGCTGAGCAGCTTCTAACCTGCATTGCAGAAATACTAGCATGTGACATTTACTACTTTCACAGAAAGGGAGATCAAGGAACATCAGGCAATATTATTTATTCAAATACTATGAGGACTGGGATTGTTGGGGGAAGTATACTGACTCTGTAAACAACTTAGAGAGGGCTGTAAAGCACTGTGAAGCAGTATATAAGTATAAGTGCTATTGCCACATATACAGCTGAGCACTGAATTAAAAAATGTACCATAATTGTTGCTCTTTCTTACCATCCATTTATGCATTGATATGAGATTGTTTTATTTTTCTCTACTGAAATATTTCTTTTTCTCTTTCTTCACTGACAAATTTATTGCATCCCCAACTGAACATCTACAGATGGAGTAGTTACAGCTCAGGTGACCTAACCACTATGCAAGGAGGTAGCTAGTTAGATCTTCCTTTCTGCCATTGAATGCAGAAATTCAGATGTTCCTCTGGATATTCTCTAAATTCCTCTGGATATTCTCTAAATCTAGAACAGATTGCAGCCATTGTAGTGTTTCAGTAAGAGGGTGGACAAAATATATGAGAATAGTAAAACTTTTAACATAAAAACAATCCCTTATCAAAATCTAATATTGAGGCATGTTCATTCCAGAGAATTAGTCCTTATGGTGCTCTGAATACAAGCTGTTTCTCTTTCCATTATTCCACTGAAGATTTATTAATGATAAAGGGAAGCAGTTTTGTCACATTTTTGTTTTAAGAGTTTCTGTCTTATTTAGTCCCCCGGGGAGGATGGAGCAGATAATTCCTGAAATTTTGCTTTGATGGAAATGAATATTCTTCTTCTGGCCATTAAAAAGAAGCAATGGGCCCCACTTGCAGAGAATGGGATGACAGAAGACTTTTTCTTAAATAGAACTTCCCTCAAGATCTTCATTTTCCTGATACGTTAGAAGAAAGCATTTTCAAGGGGCCCCAAAGGTGCTTTTTAAAGAAGCAACTGGACTTGCTTTCCTTGAAGATGTTTTCCTTGAAGATATTTTCCTTGAAGATGTTTCACTTCTTATCCAAGAAGCTTCTTAAGTTCTTGAGTTCTTCAGTCAGAATTGAAGAAGCTACTTGGATGAGAAGTGAAATGTCTTTGAGGAAAAACAAAGAAAGTATAGTTGCCTCTTGAGAAAGTATGACTTGGGTGACTTAGAATCTCTATACCTTTCAGAAGATTGGGCCTTTCCGGGCATATGAGCTTAGATCCATATAGATCTCCTTTATTGTGATTTGAATAACAGTCTGAAATAGGCCAGCTCAGTAGTTTCTTTCCCTCTGGAAGACCTTGTCTCACCCGGTTAGTATGATCTCCTCCCTTTTAATGTTCAAAAGTGCTAGTACATGCTTCTTTTTCCTAAGTCTTCCAAGGCAGAGAGTATTAGGTAAGTGAAGAATATTGTGCATTGGGATGTCATTTTGAGCTTAGTGGAAAGTTTGGGTGTTTGTTGATGAAATATAGATGTTACTCTTTCCATGTAGCCCAGGTCAAAAATAGACTCCATCAGGTTGAATGGGATGCTACCATATTGATCCAGGTTATAATAATAAAATCTTGAAAACTTGACTCAGTCTTTTATACCTGAGTGAATGAGGATGGAGCCAATCAGACCCTTTTTCTCAGAATTTTCATTTTTTTCTGAGTTTAAAACATCATTTTGTTTCTGTAACCATGTCTACATTCTTTCTCTGAGGTGATGTCTCTGCCACTCTAATAAAATATAGATTTTTTGAAATATATTTTATGATGTCATCTTATAGAAGATGACTATAGAGAATCTTGGCTTGGTGGAGAAATCAGTAAATTTCTGTATCAATAAATATTCATAAATGCTACTCCCAGTTTGATCTTCTGTGAACCATCCAATTCCTACTAATATGTGATGCTATCACAGGAACACAACCATGCACTCTTCAAATTATAAAATTCAGAATGCATATAATTTCAATATTTTTCATCTGCCCAGTCATACAACATTCTAGGTGAATCACTCCCTAACCCAACAATGTGAAAATTTAACTATGAACAAACTATATTAATTTGAGATTCAAACTGCATCAGGTGGAATGGAAGAAATGGACAAGGAACTCGTTAGATCGGTGAATCAGGTCACATAAGAGGCGAGACGTGAAAGTGAACAATCAGCTCTTTATTGTGACTTCAGAACAAGGACAGCTAAAGTGTGCGAGCCACTTGGCTTTATACAGCCGGCCGGTGGCTCGGCGGCCAATGGCAGCACTTTGAATCTCCCGCGATCGGCTCGGCCAATCGTGGTAGATACTCAGCGCTCCAATCACAGGCATTCAGTGAACCAATTGGGTTGCGGTCTGGGTGGACCAATCAGAATGCGAGTTTACAAGAATGTTAATACAGAACACCCCTCCCCTCATGGTTTCGTCCGACGCAGCGTCGTGACGTAGTCGCGCAGGTAGGTGGGACTCCGAATCTGTCTAGTTGACCTGCGCAGTTCAGTCTGTGTGTGATCGTCGGCCGGTTCGGACGGGCTCCGCGTCGCTCTCAACTCCGTTGATGGAACCTCCTGGAAGGGTGAGCTGGGCCTGTTGCCGCAGCTCCCGCCCGGACTACCTGGGTCAGTCGAGTTGCGGTTCCTGTTGCTCTCGCTCGATCTTTCTGGGCTGGTTGAGCTGGCTTGGCTGTACCTCCCACGTGAAGATCCCGTCTGCGACAGTTCGAGGTCTGCTGGTGAATATGGCTGGTTTATTTGAACGTTTCTGTCTTCTGGTGGGGGGTGTTCGGCTTGCGTTGGGGGGGGTGCCGTTGACGATTCCGGCCTTTCGTCATTTACCGGCTTGGTTGTTGAGGCTTCCCCTCCCTCTCTGCTTTCCTTGGTTGTTGTTGCCGAGGCGTTGGGGGTGTTGGCGGCTAGTCTGGACCGTAGCTGGTCGATGTGCCGCTTCCAGCTCCTTCCGTCTGTCGTTTGGAGTCTGTATGATCGGGGCCCGGTTACCTGTGTTATTTGTGCAGGTACCCAGAGGGGGGGTCTCCCGTGAAGTTCTTTGCGTAGACCGTGTCCCCGATGTTGAATGCCCGGTACCGGCTGGAGAAGTTTGGGGGTTTCTCTGGGTTGTAGGTGGGGTGTAGCTGGTCCAGTGGAGACCTCAGTTTCCTTCCCATCAGTAACTCCGCTGGGCTCTTGTTCGTGGTCGTGCTTGGCATGATGTGCTGTATGAAGAGTAGCTTGTTTATTTTGTCTTGGATGTCGCCAGTTTCGATTTTTTGGATGGTTTTTTTTGTGTATTGGACCATCCGTTCCGCCCTACCGTTCGCCGCCGGGTGAGCCGTCAAGGTTAAGGTGTGTCTGATGTCCCGTCCGGCCAGGTATTTTTCAAATGCCAGTGCCGTGAACTGTGGCCCGTTGTCCGACACTATGACATCCGGTAGCCCATGCGTTGCAAAGAGTCTGTTGAGCTTGTCGATGACCGCTTCTGTTGTTGTTGCCCTCATGGTGCTTACCTCCAGCCAGTTGGAGTAAGCATCTACAGTGATGAGGAATGTATGCCCCTTGGTTGGCCCGGCGAAGTCTATGTGTATTCGCGACCATGGTCCTCTGGGGGTTTCCCATTCCAGGACCGGGACGGCGGGGGGGTAGCTCTCGACTCTTGGCACCTGCTGCAGCCGGCGACCCATGTCTCGATTTGTTTGTCCATCCCTGGCCACCAAGCGTAGCTTCTGGCCAGGGTTTTCATCTTGACAACCCCCAGGTGTCCCTCGTGCAGCATTGCCAGTAGTCTATTTTGTAGTGCTTCCGGTATGATTACCTGGTCTCCCCAGAGTATGCACCCCCTTTGTGTGAACAGCTCAGTTTGGCGGTTTCGGAAGGCTTTGAACTGTTCGCCGCCGTCGTTTTCTGGCCACCCCCGCTCTACCCAGCTCAATACCCGCGCCAGCTGTTTGTCTTTATTTGTTTCATGGGCAATGTCTGGCGCGGTTAAGAGTGGGCTGGGTAGGGTCTCGATTTGCAGGATCATCGTTGTGGGTGCCAGGTCGTCGTCTAGGTCTGGTAGTGGTGACTGGCTTAATGCGTCAGCGTGCGGAATGTTCTTGCCAGGCCGGTGTGACAGTTCATACGAGTACGCGGCAAGGAACTCGGACCACCGCGTCATCCGGGGCGACAGGATGTTCGGGGTGGCCTTGTTCCCTGCGAGCATCCCGAGCAGGGGTTTGTGGTCCATAATGATCAAAAGGTCCTACCGTAAAGGTACTCGTGGAACCTTTTCACTCCAGCGACGATGGCGAGGGCTTCTTTGTCCAGTTGGCTGTAATGTCTTTCCGGCTTGGCCAGCGTTCTGGAGAAGAAGGCGATGGGTGCTTCCTTCCCGTCGGGTAGGGTGTGGCTGAGGACCGCTCCGATGCCAAAAGGTGATGCGTCGCAAGTTACCGTGAGTGGTAGGGTCTCGCTATACTGGATCAGGACTGCGTCTGATGTCAGCAGGTTTTTCGTTTGTTGGAACGCAGTCTCCTCCCGCTTTCCCCAGGTCCAGATGGCTGCTTTATCGAGTAGCCGGTGTAGGGGTTCCGCCACGGTCGCCTTCTGGGGTAGGAAAACATTGTAAAAATAAAGCAGTCCCAAGAATGCCTGTAGTTCCGCCTTGTTTGTTGGTGTGGGGGCTTCTTTGATGGCTCTGAGTTTCTTCCCGGTTGGGTGTATTCCGTGGCGGTCCAGGAGGTACCCCAGGAATTCGACCCTCTTGGTGTGGAGTTGGCATTTGTTTCTTTTGACTTTAAGGCCGGTGTCTTTGAATTTGCTAAGCACCGCCCTTAAACAGGTTTCAAATTGTTCTCTGTTGGTGGCTGTGACCAGCACGTCATCAAAGTAGGGGACCACTCCTTTTATTCCCTGGAGGAGCCTTTCCATGAGACTTTGGAAGACTCCTGGGGCGACGCTGACTCCGAATTGGAGTCGGTTGCATCGAAAAGCCCCCCGGTGTGTAACAATCATTTGCGCTTCGGCTGTCTCCGCATCGACCGGCAATTGCTGATACGCTTGTGCCAAGTCGAGTTTTGCAAAGACCCGGCCTCCCCCCAGTGAGTGCAGAAGGTGCTGTACTACTGGGACGGGGTAGGCGCTTTGCTGCAGCGCGTGATTGAGGGTGGCCTTGTAGTCACCGCAGATTCTTATGGAGCCATCGGGTTTGATGGGGGTGACTATGGGCGTTTCCCAGCGGGCATGGTCGATGGGTTCTAGTACCCCTTGCGCGACGAGCTTGTCTAGCTGCTCGTCGATTTTCGGCTTGAGAGCAAATGGCACTCGCCAAAGTTTGAGGCGGATTGGGGCGACGTTAGGGTTAAGGTTGAAAGAGATAGGGGGCCCTCGGTACTTGCCTAGCGAGTCATCGAAGACCTCCTGGAACTCTTTTATGAGGGTCGCTTCCCAGTCAGCCTCATCCGTGTGATGGATGCCCATCACCTCGATTCCCAGCGGGGAGAACCATTGCAGGCTGAGCAAGCTGGGGCGGTCCCGGTCCACGATTGTGAGTGGCAAGATGTCAGTGTGGTTCTTGAATGTGACTTTAAAATGCCCGATGCCAGCCACAAGGTTGCGGTTTCCCTGGTAGTCTTTCAGGATTAGCTTCTGGTCGTCTAGTTCGTTGCGGTGGATGGTCGGTACTAGGCGCTTGATTGTGTGCCAAGAGACCATTGAGAGGTAGGACCCGGAGTCCACTTCCATCTCGCAGGGCTGGTCTTCGATGCACAGTGCCACATGTACCTTTCGGGCGTCCATGGTTGATGAATGGCCGATGACGACCATCTGGTGGGTTTCCTCATACCGCTGTGCTTCGCTGAGTCATCTGCTGTGGCTGTCGTGGCTCCACTGGCTCTCGGTCTGGCGGTCTCGGTGCCTGGGGGGAGTGCTGTCTCGTCGTCGTGGGCTGTTTCCTCGTCATTGCGGGCTGTAGCTCTTTTTATTCCGGCACACCTTGGCGATGTGCCCCCGCTTCTCGCAATGCCGGCAAATGGCATCGAGAAAACGGCATTCGGAGTGGGGGTGGTCGCCGCCGCAGCCGGCGCAATGGAAGCCCGACTTATGTCCCCTGCGGTCCCAGCAGTCGTGCTCGGTCTGCAGCCGATGGATCTCCTCGTCTTCGTCCTCGGTGTCAGATTGGGGTTCGAGGTCGCCATGATGTGTGGTTGTCTCTCGGCGGCTGGCTTGAGGGCTCGAGGTCAGCCCAGTCCATCTCCTTTACATCGGCGGGCATGGCCAGCGCCTTGGCCATCTTGAATACCATGTGGCCACAGTGCATCAGAAACACTGCCCGTTTCCTCTGGCCGTTGGCGTCCTTGAGGTTGCTGCATTCCAGGAACATCTGGAAGCGATCGGTGTACGACTCCCAGTCCTCGGTGGCTGGGTCGAACGGAGCAGGTGGCGGGGTGCTGGCCATCTTGCAGGTCGTTTGCCACGTGCTAGTTGGTCCTCGCCTCACGATCCCACCTTCGTCGCCAGTGTAAGATCGGTGGATCGGGTCACATAAGAGGCGAGACGTGAAAGTGAACAATCGGCTCTTTATTGTGACTTCAGAACAAGGACAGCTAAAGTGTGCGAGCCGCTTGGCTTTATACAGCCGGCCGGCGGCTCGGCGGCCAATGGCAGCGCTTTGAATCTCCCGCGATCGGTTCGGCTAATCGCGGTAGATTCTCAGCGCTCCAATCACAGGCGTTCAGTGAACCAATCGGGTTGCGGTCCGGGTGGACCAATCAGAATGTGAGTTTACAAGACTGTTAATACAGAACAGAACTGAAATAAAATTGGAATTTCTTCACTCAGGAAAAAGGAGAGATATTAAAATTATCTCAAAGTTACAGAAATTGTAAATGAAGATATCCAGTATCTGAGATCATTGGGTCTCCTAATTCTGGGGAATGTATTTCCCTGGGGCCTGGATGTCTCCTGGTATTAATTTACCAGATTCCCAGGATGAATCCTTGAGTTTCTTTCATGAGACCTTGTTAGAGAAAAAGTCCTCCAGTCTCTCTGGAATTTTGGAACCTCTAAAAGTCTAGAAGCTTCTTCAGACTTTTTAAAATGTCAGCTCCTATAAACATTCTACATTACACATTTTTTTTCCTGAGGAAGGAATGCAGAAACACTAACTTTCAAGATTTTGATTTACCAATGAATATTACATCATGTGCAATGTTCCTTAAGAAGAAGTATCCCATCTGTATAAAAATTATCAGAAAATCACTCATAAAGTAAGATCAATACTTCTTCAATAAACAGCATCAGGTTTGTTGGGATGGTTCCTGTTGACATGCAGCTTCACGAAAATAAGTTTTATTTTTTTTAACAATAGTCTGAGGAATATTAAGAGAATTTTATTATCAACACTATAGTTAAAAAAGTTCCTAATTCAAAGTAGTAAAAGTTGAGCTCATAAGGGCCAGACTCTCTGAAATAAGAAAGAATTAAATAGGCAGAGTTGTGTCATGTTGAAATTAAGTCTCCACCTTAAACTCAAGAGGGTGAAATTTAAATGGTCAGCACTGAAAATTCTGACAAATCAGTTCTAAAAAAATAGAGAATTATTATGTGATTCATTAAAATGGTATAATTGCAAAAAAGTATGTAGGACACTAAGTTAGATGAGCAGTTTCCAGTTTTAAAGAACTTGAAGAATATAGAAAATAAGTAACTAGTGTGAAAAGGCTATTAATTACTAATAGTTGCTGAAACTGTTTCATCAGTTTCATTTCATTTGATCAGTTGTCATCAAGTCAGTGTTGACTTTAAATTGTTTGCGGGATGATTTGTCCCTTACTTCGTCCTTCAGGTTTCCCAAAGATGCACTTATTGTCCAGGGGTGGGATTCAAATTTTTTAAAAACGGGTTCTGTGGGTGGGCCTTAGTTGGTGGGCATGGTTTGGTGGTCATATTATTGGCTGGGCATGGCCAACTCAATATCACTCACATCGAGGCATGCATCTCCTCACCTGGCCTCTCATGACTGTGGGGATGCTGCAACAGTTGTAAGTGTGAAAAATGGTCATAAGTCACTTTTTTCAGTGCCATTGTAACTTTGAATGGTCACTCCACACAAGCAAAGTGCCAGCAAAGGAGGGGAAAAAACTCCAGAGAGGCTCCGGGGACAGCAAGTCTAGTCCTGCCAAGAATGTAAGAAGGGTTAACGGAGAGGCAGTTTCTGTAAGCAACACCAGAATGTTTCCTTCCTGCCTTCCTTACAGGATTAGCCCAGTGATTTCTTCTAACAACCAGTTCTCCGAACTGCTTAGAACGTTAACACCCGGTTCTAGCAAATAGGTGCAAACTGGTAGAATCCCACCCCTGCTATTATCACTTTAACATAGTCCATATAACTTGCTGATCCTTCTGTCTTTCCTCCCATCTTTTCTAGCAATAGAGCCTTTCCCAGAAACCCTGGTCTTTGCATACTGTGTCCAAAATAAAATAACTTGAGTCTGATGATTTGTGCTTTTGGGGAGAACACTGAATTGACTTGTTTAATGATCTACTTGTTTATTTTTTTGGTATTCTTGATATTCTCAGGAGTGTTCTTTAAAACTACTTTTCAGAGACTTCAAATTACCCTTTCCATTCTTATTCCTCAAGTTTGAAATTATTAAGAAACAAATGTAATTTTTATTTCACATTCCCTCTCAGGCTTCAATCTGAATGATATTATGAAGAAAGACAACCAGTCCTGTTTGACCGAGATGGTCCTGTTGGGCTTTTCAGATTTCCAGACAATGCAAGAACTTTTATTTTGCCTGGTTCTAATGTTCTACTTCATAGCCTTGATGGGTAATAGCCTGGTTTTGATTCCCACTGTTATCAGTTCTACACTTCACACACCAATGTACTTCTTCCTCTGGAACTTGTCCTTTGTGGAAATTGGCTACACCTCATCCATCAGCCCAAAGATGCTAGTGAATGCATTGTCAGACAACCAGAACATATCCTTTTGGGGCTGTGGGTGTCAAATGTGTTTCTTCATTCTCTTTGGTACCACTGAGTGTTGTCTTCTTTGTGTAATGGCATATGACCGCTATGTTGCTATTTGCAAGCCCTTGCAATACCCATACACCATGAACCTCAGCAAATGTAGTATGCTTGTTGCTGCATCATGGGCCATTGGTGTTTTTGTGGGTCTGGGGCAATCTATTTCAATCTTCACCCTCCCCTTCTGTGGGTCAGATAGGATCAGCCATTTCTTTTGTGACCTTATGCCTGTTCTGAGACTGGCATCTACCAATACTTACAAAAATGAAGTGGCCATTGCTGCACTAACAGTTCTATTTATTCTCGTTCCCCTTTTGCTCATCCTTTTTTCCTACATCCTCATCATTTCCACTATTTTCACAATGCCACTGGCCAAGAACCAGAACAAAATGTTTTCAACTTGTTCCTCACATCTCGCGGTGGTCTGCATTTTCAATGGAACTGGCGTTACCTACATTCCTCCCAGCTCAGAATATTCCATGGACAGTAGCAGGTTCCTTGCCCTGCTCTACACAGTAGTGACCTCAAGTTAAAATCCCATCATTTACAGCTTGAAGAATAAAGAGATAAAAGCAGCTTTCATGAAATCTGTAACAAGGAAGCAGATCTTCTTTACTGAATAATCCTAGTATATCCACAAATTTTCAACTGAATTCAATTGTTGTGAACATAAATAAGGGTTAAAGTTAAAATAGCTATATTAGTGGCAGATTTCACCCTTTATTCCAGATTGATCTGGATAGATTTATTCAAAACAAGGAGAGAGCCCTGGAAATTAACTTAAGTACACTATTCTGATAGAATTCAGGTAAAGGATATTTGTCCATTTATTGAAAAGGAAAGATACCACACTGCTCAGAAAGTCTAAATAAAATGTTGACAAAAGTAAGGAGATAAAACATGCTTTCAAGAAGACAGTAGCAATCATGGGTGAGAAAGTTATAATCTTTTGCTTTCCCAGGTCATTGAACACCTTGTGCTATCTTCATCTTTTCCAAATTTACCACCAATCCTTGTCCTTTGCAGAGTTTTATACCAAAATAACAGAGTTGGAAGGATCCTTGAAGGTCTTCTAGTTCAATCTTTGCTCAAGCAGAATACCTTATACCACTTCAGACATATAGTTGACCCAGTTCTTCTTAAAAATCACTCAAGCACTCAATGCCTGATTTGATAGTTAGTTACTCTGAAAAAGTGTAAAAGTATTATTTGCTTAGAAGGGATAGTTGTATTATTTGAAACCATATAACTGTTCCAGTGCTTTATTTTTGCTGGGAAGATGTATTTGGCGTCATAGCTTCTAACTTTAAGTGTAAAAATAGGAGCATGTGAGCGTTACCACTTTTATGGAAAGAGAGAGAAAGGAATATCGGACAGTATTATTTTTTCAAATATATATACAACTGAGCTCTGAATTGAGAGACAGTTCCACATAGAAACTGTAGATTATTTTTATTAAAAAAATATTTCTTATATCGGTCTTATTAGAATTGCAACAATAATAAACAAACTATTCTTTCTTATTAAAAAAAAAACTGTATCCATTTCTCATTTATGTTTTAGTGTTTTATTCTGCATCAAAATATTTCTTTTTATACTTCACTAACAAACCTATTGAATTTCCATTTTAACATTTACAGATGGCGTTGTGAATGGGTGACATAACAACTATGTAGGTAGGTAGCGAGTTAGGTCTCCCCTTCTACCACTGGATGAGGAAATCCAGATCTTTTTCTGGATATTCTCCAAACATCATTCCAGTTTCAATAAGAGAGTTAGAATAGAATAGAATAGAATTCTTTATTGCCCAAGTGTGATTGGACACACAAGGCATTTGTCTTGGTGCATATGCTCTCAGTGTACATAAAAGAAAAGATATATTTGGCGAGAGTCAAGAATCATAAGGTACAACACTTAGTAATAGTCATAGGGAGCAATATTGACAAAGTATATGAGAACATTAGAATTAACATAAAATAGTCTCTTATCAAAATCTAGTTAGGGAATCTGGGCTAGATGGAGCAATTAATAAATTTCAGTATCAATAAAGTCATTAATAAATGATACTCTCAGATGGATCCCCTGTGAAGTTTTTATCAAACTGCTATCATAGGAATAGCAATATGCATTTTAAAACTATGAAAGCCAAGACTGGTTTGCTTATAATTTCAATATTTACATATGCCCAATCATAGGAGATTCTAGATGAATCACCAGAGGTAACCCAACAATGAGAATATTTAATTATAAACAAGCTATACTATTTGAGATCCACATCATGTGAGCATCAGGTGGTATGGAAGAAATGGAAGGGAATTGAAATAAAATTGAACTTTGTGGAGCTCAAGAAGAGGAGAGATATTAAAATCAGCCCAAAGCTTTTCCATGCAGTTGTTGATTCCATAACAGGAGTTAAGGCACAATATCTATTATGCCATTGTAATAATCTTTTGAACTAAATTCCCTATATGAATGAGTTAGCATGTCACATGATTAGGGAGTCATGGAAATTGTAAATGAAAATATCCAGTATCTGAAAACACTGGGTTTCCTAACTCAGCTGTAGGGAATGCTTTTCCCTAGGTCCAGGTTGTCTTTTGGTATTAATTTACCAGATCCCCAGGATGGATCCTTGGACCTTTCATAAGACCTTGTTAGAGAAAAATGTCTCCAGTCTCTCTGGAATTTTGGAACCTCTAGGAGTCCAGGGGCTTCTCCAAATTTGGTAATGTCAGCTCCACTAAATAGACTATAGTATATATATTTTTTTCCCTGAGGAAAAAAAGACTCATCTAAGGCAGTAGAATTTTCAAGACCTTGGGTTACAGAATATGGAGTGTTCCTTAAGAAGAAATATTATTGCTATAAAAACCACCAGAAAACCATTCACAAAGTAAGATTGAGATCTGATAATTTATCAAGGTCAGATTTGGTGGCATGGTTCCTGCAGATACTCAACTTCATGAAAAGAAGTTTTATTTTTGAATAATAGACTGAGGAATATTAAGAGAATGTTATCATCAGCAATGTAGTTATAAAAAGATTTTATTTCAAGGAAACTCAGTAACAGTTGAGTTCATTCTTACAATGGTCAGAATCTCAGAAATAGTAAAGAATTAAACAAACAAAGGTGGGTCACCTTGAAAGCAAATCTTTGCCCTAAACTCAAGAGGGCTATATTGACATTCTGAACCTTGAAAATTCTGACAAATGAATTCTGAACAAAATAGAATAACTGTATGATTCATTAAAATGATATAATTGCAAAAAATGTAGAGGACACTAAATTTAAATAAGCAATCTCCAATTTTCAATAACTTAATCCAATTGACTGCTTTTGAGTAAATGTGAAGGATGCAGGATATAAGTATCTATTATGAAAAGGATATTAATTGTTAATAGCTGCTAAAATGGATCAATCAATTAGGTGGTATCAAGTCAATGTTGTCTCTAAATTGTCTGCATGATGATCCTTCTGGTTCTTCAGGTTTTCCAAGGATGCATCTATTGCCAATGCAACTTAGTCTGTATAACTTGCTGATTGTTCTCTTTCCTCTTCTCTTTCCTTCTACCTTTCACAGCAACAAAGCTTTTTCCAGAAATCTAGCTCTTTGCATAATATGTCCAAAGTAAAATAATTTAAATCTGATGATTTGTATCTTGAGAACTCTGGCTTGACTTGTTTGTTAGGTCTACTTTATTTATTTTCTTGGCTATACATGATATTCTCAGGCATAAAACTAATGTTCAGAGACTTTAATAAACTTCCCATTCTTGTTTTTCAAAGCTGAAATTGCTAAGAGAGGAATGTAATGTTTATGTCATATTCTTCTTGTTTTCTTAGGCTTCAACCTGGATAATACTATGAAGAAAGACAACCAGTCCTGTTTGAGTGAGATGATCTTAATAGGTTTCTCAGATTTCAAGACAATACAAGAGCTTTTATTTTACCTGGTTCTAATATTCTACTTCATAGCTTTGATGGGCAATAGCTTTGTTTTGATCCTCACCATTTTTAGTCCTACACTTCACACCCCAATGTACTTTTTCCTCTGGAACTTGTCCTTTTTGGAAATTGGCTACACTTCCTCCATCAGTCCAAAGATGCTAGTCAATTTGTTATCAGAGAATCAGACTATATCCTTTTGGGGCTGTGGATGTCAAATGTGTTTCTTCATTCTTTTTAGTGTCACTGAATGTTGTCTTCTTTGTGTCATGGCATATGACTGCTATGTTGCCATTTGCAAACCTTTGCAATACCCATACATCATGAACTACAGAGAATGTGTTCATTTTGTTGCTGCATCATGGGCTTTTGGGATTTTGATGGGTTTGGGGCAATCTGTTTCAATCTTCACCCTTCATTTCTGTGGGTTGGATAAAATCAGCCATTTCTTCTGTGATATTATGCCTGTTTTAAGACTGACTTCCACTGATACTTACAAAAATGAAGTGGCCAATGCCATACTAACCATGGTGTTTGCCCTAATACCCCTTTTGCTCATCCTTTTTTCCTACATCCTCATCATCTCTACTATTCTCAGGATGCCAGTGGCCAAGAACAGGCAGAAAGCCTTTTCAACTTGTTCCTCACATCTCACTGTTGTTCTCCTGTACTATGGAACAATCACTGCTGCCTACATTCATCCCAATTCAGCAAATTCTCAGGACAATAACAGGTTTCTTGCCCTCCTCTACACAGTAGTGACCCCAAGCTTGAACCCTATCATTTACAGCTTGAGGAACAAAGAGATAAAATCTGCTTTCACAAAAACAGTAGCAAAGCTATGCATCTTCCTTGGGTAAAAATCCAGTTACATCTGTTGGTTTCATCTCTTCATATGGTGACTGTTCTTGTGCACATATTTATGGGTAGAAATAATTCTAGAAAATAACTGTTGAAAGGCTTGAAAATGCCTTTCTTCCAAGGGTTCTTTTTTCCTGCTGGGAGTGCTCCAGAGTAAGGTCACAGACAGGCAGCTACTTGGAAGGCAGGTTCCTTTAATTTTCAGGA